AAAACCCCAAAACCCCAAAACCCCAAGAGAAGAAATAGAATACATTATTTGAAATATAAATTATATAAAATTAAGTAAATTAAATGGGATTAAGAATTCATTCATAAAGTAGCGGAACTACTTTCTTAACGGACTGGCATACTCTTGTGACTCAGTATCTGGGCATGGCTTGACCTCTTCCTCTGAATTAAGGTCTTTGCTCTAGCTGATCTCTGTTGCCAAAGTTAGTGGACATCTATCCTCTACCTCTCTAGGCATTCATACCTACCTCAAAGCCTCTGTTTGACTCTCTAGGCTGGATTCTAGGATGTTCTTGTTCCTCAACACCATTATACTGCTTCTTGAAATGATGATTGCCATTACCGAAATCTCTATTCTAGCCAATAGCACCCCTTTCCTATTGAAACTGCTGTGGTTGCTAGTATTGCTTGAAATTAATTGGTCTGCCATTATACTCGAAGCCATTAAGATTTTAGATAGCAAACTAGGCATCTCTTGCAGTCTAGAACTCGCAGATGCCAGTGCCTCTAGATCTACCAGTCTCTTGATCTCTGTGGAATACAACGCTCACAACTCTTAGGCGATTCTCTCTAAACAGATTCATCAATTCTTCTTCTCTACAAGCAAAGTGTAAATTGCCCATGTAAACTCTAGTTTGCCCTGATTTTTCCTCTTCTCTAGAAACTGCTGCACTATTCTAATGGAAACCTTTGTGGAAGCCTCCGTTGACCTACTTGCTATCCATTTGTCTATGCTGTGGTATTGATACTCTGTATGAGTCATTTTCTGAATAGTGAGGAGTTGATTGAGGAGTGCTGTAAGCAAATGAAGCTGAACTCTTCATGGACTTGCCATCAAAGCCAGCATCGCTTCTTCCATCTCCCATGTTTCTATAACCAGGACCTCCAAATCCTCTGCCTCTAGAATTCATCGAAACTTGATCTGGATTTCTACTTTGTTGATTGATGAAATTACTGTGGCCTCTACCTCTACTTGGAAATGACTTTTCTGAATGGTTAGAATTACCACCTTAATAGCCTCTTGATTGGATATTGTTGCTAAAGTTTTCTTTATTAATAAAACCTTGGTTTCTCTAAAATCCTGACCTCTTCTCATCCAAAGCATCAACAAATCTGCCATTGTCATCTCTCTTATTTCTTTGAATGCCCTAAGATCTATCAGTATCAGATTTATATTGGAAAGGCTCTCTGCTCTGACCTTAGTATCCATGATTATCCCTTGGAGCAGAGGTACTCTGAACTCTCATTACCTCTTCCTTGCTGGGTGCTTGAATGTGATCAAACTGAATTCCACAAGTCATTTCAATTTGCTCCATCAGATGAGAGGTTTTGTTGCTGAAGAATGTAATACAAGTGCCCTCCTTGCCAGCTCTTGCAGTACGACCTGATCTGTGAATATAGGTCTCTACATCCTTGGGAGGCTCAACTTAAACAATCAACTCAACATTAGGTATGTCAAGCCCCCTTGAAGCAACATCAGTGGCAACAAGGTACTTGATTTTGCCTTCTCTGAACTTCTTCAAGGTTTGCTCTCTTGTGAACTGAGGAATGTCTCCATGCATGACTTCGATCTCTCTTCTCTCGAAGATTGGATTCTAGATCAATGAATTGGCATCAGCTTTGGTTTGTGTAAATACTATGGCTCTACCTCCTTCGCCATAAACAGATACTAATTAAATTAGATTAATGATAATGATTACATAGATCAATAAGGACTCTTTCTTTCAGATAATAAGGGCAGCTGATTGCCAGGTGTCTGACTTTCTAAGCAGTTTTATTCTTCAGGTCTTTAGCTAAGTCCATGAAAAGGAACTACTCTCTCATATGCTCAATGGCGATCTCCTTAACCCATTAGGGGATAGTTGCTGAAAACATACATATTTGCAATGTCCTTGTAATGTTTTGTTTTATAATTAAGAGGATCTTCTCAACATCTTCCTTGAAGCCAAGCTTTAGCATCTAATCAGCCTCGTCTAGGATAACAGTCTTGATACTTGAGAAGTCAATGTTTCCTCTTTCAATGTGATCAAGTACTCTACCTGTGGTACCGACAAAGAACTCAACACCTCTCTTCAAAGCTGATATTTGTGGTTCAATAGACACTCCTCCATAGACAGTGACTGTACTATATTCATCGTCTCTATCCTTGAGTCTAGCGAATTCATTTTAAACCTAGTAATATTGATGATTAGTAATTGTATGAACTTACTTAGACAGCAAGTTCCCGAGTAGGAGCTAAGACAATGGCTTGAAGTTTTCTAGTACCGAGTAGTTTTTGCTCTCTGAACTTTTCTACTAATGGTAAGGCGAAGGCCAAAGTCTTCCCTGATCCAGTCAGGTCTCTGCCTATCACATCCTCTCCATCATAGATAGGGTAGAAGCATTATTGCTAAACAGGAAAGAGGTACTTTATACCTCTTGATTTGAGATTGTTGACAGTAACTTGTGATATTTCAGGAAACCTTTCAAAGCTACCCTTATCAGCCTCATCATCGGTGCAAGATGCACTTCCTTTTTGCTTTGTATCTTGTTGATGACCTACCTTATGATCCTCCTACTGATCTTCATTAGAGCAGTCATCAAACTGCAATTGACTACTGATTCTAGACTTAGACTCACTTTTAAGGTCTCTTTTTTTTACTTAACTTAGACTTTCTTCATCTTTATCTAGAGTATGAGTAAAAGATTATTGAAAGATACCTTTTGAGATCTTAGATATCTTGTCTGATGGAACGACAATGGAGTATGAATTCTTTGAGTTTGGCTTTATATTTGCTTTCTGTTGCATATCCTGATCAGAGTCTTGCTGGTCGAGATCATCCTCAATCTCTTTAGTATTGACTACTATCTCAGTCATTGGTGAAGATCTCTTTTCAGTGGCATCATACAGATCCACTAACTTGTAGACTTACTTGTCCTCAAGCACAATCTTACTCTCAATTCCATTTTCATCCAGAGTCTTCTCTCCCTTCAGATAGGTCTCTTTGCCTTCAGGCTTCTTTCTTAGATGCTCTTAGTCTCTATTGCTTTACATATTCTCCTCCTTGGACTCAGCAATGGTGGCGATCGAACTGTTGAAAGGATCACTTACTTCAAATTTGCTAGTTTTGGTTTAATCTAAACTCATCGATTTAATTTTAATTATTATTAGATTCTTGATTAATCCAGCTTATATACTCATTGGGGTTTTGGGGTTTTGGGGTTTTGGGG